CTATAGTAGCAATATAAAGAGACTTTTTTTTTATCCTCTTGATTGGTGGAAATCTTCCTTTACTTCCTGCGTATTCTTCAACCAGGAAACCCAATTCTACCCCAAAACTTGATAAACCCCTAACCTGTAAAAAAAAAGTTAGAGAATAAGCTCATAATCATTTTTGCTTTCAGAGCTGCCTCAAGAAATCAACATGCATGTAACCAACCCACACCACAATCAACTGTTTGAATTAGTGAAAACATCAGCTATGACCACCTTTTCCAGTTGCAAACCTGAAGCGTTTACAATTATTATCAAGCTTGGGATATCTCTGCTCTCTAAAATTAGCTTTTCCTTTATACTAAAACTTTATTAGTTTTTATTTCAAAACCATTTCTTTGGAAAGTCAGGCAGTACAGTTCTAAGCCTGCAAAACTATACAATCACAAAAAGCTGAAATTTCAGAATTCAGCACACTCTCCTTATAACTCAGCATCTCCACCTCATAATGTAAGCCTGCTTTATTACAAAATTACTGACCCTCAGAGCAGCATTTAGGAGAGAAGTTACTTACTTCCCACCATCTATTTGTGAAAATCACAGAGTCTGCCAAAATTAGTGTTAAAACCAGCCAAGTAACCAGGCATATAAGAAAAGATAAACAGTATCAGAAACACTGTATCCAGACCTTTTCTTGGACTATGGCAACATATGGCAGGATCATCAGAACATCTTTCTGCCTGCAGAGTAATTCTTGGAGAATCATTATTTCAGCTACAAGTGTTTTTCCACCACTGGTTGGCAATGAGTATATTAAATTCTTTCTTTGCCGTAGAGATTCTAGCATTAAGCAGTCATGCTGCCATTCTGCAAAATTAAAGAATAATTATTAGCAACTCCCGGGGCATGTTATTCAATATCAAAATGACTATGTTTCATAAAGAATACTCTGAGTCTAGTGTTTTGAGAGCTTTTCTTCACTGAACTACTGAAAACTTTCAGCAATCAAACCTTCCAAAGTATTCTATAAGCTATATCAACCTTTCCCACCTACCCAAAAAAACAAAATAAAACAAAACAACCACTTTCCAACATGATTTACTTTCAATATTACCTTGAGTATTTTTTTAGTGTAAAGGGTAAATCAGGCAACACTCGACTAGCAATTATTTTTTTTTCAACAAAGCATTAATTACATTACCATAAAGCGTTTCAATCCCTCGAAATTGCCTGAACAGATCTTTAACTTTGCTAGGTAGTCCATAAAAAGGGCCTATATCAACAGAAGATGATTCAATAGTTTTCCTAGCAACACAAATCTCTTCAGATAAAACAGCTTCTTTAAGCTGTTTGGTCTTGGAGACCTGCAGAGCCTGGGCTTTGGCATTTCCAGTCATAGCACTTTTCAGATGATCTTTAAGACTCTCAGATTTAAATAAATCACACTTAGAATCTGAGGAAAAGTCAGTAGGTCTGTTCCTGTGTTCAGCATCGGAATACAAAGATGACAGACTCCTGATTTTGTCTGAGGAAGAATTCACACATTTACTCCTCCTTTCTGAGACTGGAGTTGTTCTAGAATCAGAAGAACGTTCAACCATTTCCTCAAAATACAAAAGTTGTGATGATGGCAAGTCATCTAAAACAGATTCGGTCAGTTCTTGACTGCTATTCGCCGGGTCACTTTCATTCATTTGGGGAGCATCCTCTTTGTCAGCTTTAAAGACAACCATATCTGCTGAAGTAGAAAAATTATCTTGTTTTGTCTGATGACTTCTTGACTGAAGATTCTCAAGTATGTTATCTCCAGCTGCTTTCATATCCATATTTTCATCCTGTAGGTATTTGTGCTCTATATCCTCAACTTGAGCTAGCAAAGAATTATTTCCATAAAAGCTGTCATCGTCACCAAACATATCTTCTTCGCTATCATTACTACACTGTAAAAACAGAACAATGAGTATTAATACTCCAAAATAACACCAAGGAACGCAGCATAACTTCTACAACACACATCAAATACAAGACAGTGAAGTCTTCACCAACTTAAGCGTTTTTCTGATTTTTTTTTTTTGTGAGGAAAACTTAGCTTGGCTTCTAAAGGACTGCAAGAAGTCAGCAAAACTTAACCTAGAAGTAGACAGGATGCCTGTATAGCTACTTAATAATGATTTTTTTTTTTTTTTTACGTTAAAGCCAAAATGCACCCCCTCTGTTAGAAATCAAGGCCCTCCTCGACCAACACCCCGCAGGCTCACTCCGGGCCACGCCGGCCTCCCAGGCAGAGTCCCCCCAAATTCGATACCGAGCCCCAGAAGCCTGCCCGCACCCCGCCATCCCCGCACCGGGGTCTCCGCCGAGGGCCCCTCGCTGCCGGAGCTCTGTCTCTTGCAAGCGGCCGGCGAGCAGGAGGCACCGGGCAGCGCCGGGGCCCAGCTCCGCTTGCGAACAGAGCCGGGGCGGCTCTTCCTCCGCACGGCGGCGCCGGGCTCGGCCATCACCCCACGGAGCGGAGGGATCCGCGTCACGGCCGCGGCAGGGCACGGCGGGGGGCGGCCGACTCGCCAGAGAAAAACTGGGCCGCCATAACGGCAGTGGCGACCCACCGGCCGCTTCCCCCCGCGCGCGTCGCTTCCGTCCGTCAGCTGCTGACATCAAGGCTCCGTGACCAGGCGGCGGCCAATCGCCGGCCATACTTGTATAGGCGGCGGGGTGCTGCCAGTGATGCACAGACGGAAATAGCGCGCGTGTGGAGGGCGGGCGGGATAGCGGACAAGATGGCGGCGCGGGCCGCGGCGGCGCGGAGGCCCTGGCGGGGGCTGGTGCCCGGTGCGTTCCCTCCGCTCTGGCGTTTCCCTCCCTTCGCGGGGGGCGGCTGGGGCGTCGGCGGGGCTTCGCTAATTAGCGAGCGAGTTAATTAGCCGCCGCTAATCCTGTCGCTCTTTCCGTTGCAGCGGCGCTGTGGGAGCGGCCGCGCCGCCTGCAGCACGAGTGGCCGCCCGGCCGGGACGACCAGGTGAGGCTGCACAGCGCGAGTCGCGGCGCTTTGGTCCCGGTGTGGTTCGGGCTCTCAAAAAAAACAAACCAACACCGCAGAATTCTCGCTCGTTTGATGCGTTACAGAGCAGGAGCTCAGCGCTGAAGTGGCAGAGGTTCAGGCGCCATCGAGCTGAAGTCCGGTTTCTCGATTGAGGTCACTTCAGCCAGCAGCTCCTGTGTGGAACAAACCCTTTGGCAGCACTGTTTTCCTGAATATAGCTGAGAAAAAAAAATTAAAGAGAATGCGCTAGGTGTGGTTGTTACATCATAAAAATATCTTGTACCAGTAAAAGCTTTTAAAAACATTTTTCTGCCCAGATTCTACTTAGGGTTACAAAAATAATTTTTCTCCATTCAGTCATATCTTGTAAGGATGTGGTGCTGGGTTTGTTTGGAAGTTTAAGGAGCCTTTCAGGGCTTGAGAGGTATTTGGGAATGTCTCTGTTAAAGTGTGTGAGTAAACGGGAGCTTTCTCAGGACATTTACATTGAAATTATTTTCAAAAAAAGTCTCTTCTGACTGATCAGACAGAACTATTTTACTGCCAGCTTCTGTGGCTATTGTATTTTGAGAAAAGGGCGTAAACACACCATCTTATTGATTGCTTTAATTGACTTATTGTCATTAAGATATAAAAGGTTGTGTAGCTGTGAGAAGTCTTTTAAATTGCTAGGTACCAGCCAGTGTGTTAAAGAAATAGAGGTAGGAAAGTTACTGAGAAACTTCGATAATGCACTAAATAGCTCTTGGCTTCAATGCATGCTTTGCCTAAAGGATAAAAATAACAAGCATTCTTTATTTTCTTGTGAAGCTTACAGATGTTAATAATTCTCTCATTTCAGCCCATACAGATGGAGAACCCCTATAAAGAGCCTCCTAAAAAATGTGTCTTATGTGAAATAAATGTGGACTACAAGAATGTGCAGGTGAGTTTGAAAATTTCTGTCCTTAGATGAAGGTAAGTGGCTTACGATTTTTAAATGGGTGTGTAAGAAGTCTCCAAGAATCAAAAAGAAAAATTCATTCAGATGGGTTAGGGATCTAAAACTTTGAGTAAGATTATGTGCAGAATAAAGATCAAAGAGTGTAGTTGTGATAAACTGTTCAATCTAGTAGTCCTATGTGCAGGTGTTAGAAATTTGTTTTTTACTAAATAGTCCTCAGTTTCAATTCCACTGTCATGCTGCTTAAATGTTATGGCATATAAAATACTGTCTAAGACACATTTTTTCTTGTCTCCAGGTAGAACCGAGTTTTCTAAAAATAGATGAAAAAATTAAAATAAAATGCAAATATTAAAATAAACTAAAACTCTCTAAAAAAAGTTCATAAACTGACTTTGGATTTCTTAATTTTAAATAGCTTCTTTCCCAGTTTGTTTCTCTGCATACTGGCCGCATTTATGGCAGGCACATAACAGGTATGTGAAGTATTAAATAATGTACTAGTTCTTATGAGTCCAAGTAACTGTATATCAGCTATCTTTCCAAAAGTAACTACTGACAACCCTGTACATTTTGTAATAGTATTCTTATGACTTAATAGCCTTCATCAGGGAATGAAAACATCCCTTAATTATGTTGTTTTTTTTTTTTTTTTTTATATTTAAGTATTTTTCTAGAAAGACTTGGACAAAGCTGGAGGGAAGTGTCAGTTAAATCATCTTTACCCTTTAAACTAATGGTTTGGGTACTGTTGATTTAAGAGACTGAAAATTATTTATCTTTAGGCTTGTGTAGCAAGAAGCAGAAGGAAATTACAAAAGCCATTAAAAGAGCTCAAGTATTTGGTAAGTATGATTATGCTTTTAAGTTTTGTAAGTGAAGACTACTTTCCTATTAAAAAAACCCATCCATCTTATCTTTTACAGGATTTATGCCAGTTATGTTTAAGAATCCATCATTTCTCACAGACCCCAAGATATGTAATGTCAAGTATCCAGAATAATACATTATAAAGAAATAAACAATAAAACTACCTTTCATGTTTATATACTTGTTTACTAGAAGTGTGGTTGGCTAGCATAATGCGTCCCTGACTGAAGGCTGGACGTCAGCTGCTTTTCTTATGAAGTGTCAAGTCTCTAAAAATTGAAGGAAGTCTGAAAGATGAAAGCAATAGTAGAAATTGGACCACTTCCTCAGCTCACAGGTCTTGCTGAAGTTCAGGTGGGTGTTTTTCCCTTGCTGGATTGGAAGGAGGACAAAATAAACAAGCAGTGGATAGCCAAGGATAAATGGAAGTATTGAAATTGTGGCAATTTATGTAGACAGCTCGTTCTGTTAAGTATGTTACCTGTATTCATTTGAGGCTCCCTGCCTCAGCTTCTGCTGAGGACTGGGTAGTACTGCTTCAACAGCAGCTTGAAGTTGTATTACTCTGAGGCAGCATGTGACATGGTTATATGACTGCTAACATCCTGCTAGCATAGTCTTTAAACCCTGAGAGAGCAAATACAGATTTAACTCTGGAAGGCAAATGTTATCGGAGGGAATGTCGTCGACTTGTCTCTATGCCAAATAGGATTCATGCATTGGATAGAAAAAAAAAAAAAAAAACAACCTGCAAAATACACTGGGTTTTTTTATCCCTGCAGTGCTGTGAATTGATATGCCACTTGAATATGCTGGCAGTAACTCTTGGTGCAAAGTCATCTGGACAAACCAACAGATCAGAAAGTAGGAGAGTGTGGGTATTCATTTGTGTCTCTGACTTTTTCCAACATGTCCTCTTCTGTTTCAGTGCTACTCTGTGTAAGCTTCCTTTCCTGGTCACTGTCCTCTTGGTCTCGAAGTAATTTTTGGTGAAGTTGCAGTGATCTGGATTTCTTGAATGACTTTGATCCTGTTGTGGTCCCTCTGACTTTACGCTTGGTTAGGTGTCTTGCTTCAGCTTCAGTGAAGTCTCTTTCCTCTACCATGAGAGTCAGTTTGTCCATAACATTAATATTATGGTCAATATTACAGGAGTTCTTGGATATTTGTTGGCCCTTGAAGGATACAATACATGTCTGAAGTCCAGAATTGGGGAAAAATGTCTGCAATGCCTGACAAAGGAGGACGTTCTCCTTTGGCTCTCCTGTGTAGTCTATGTCTCTTCCTGAAAAAAAAAAAAAAAAAAAGCTAGTGTTGCAGTCCCTCTTGCACACTTCTACCACTACTGCCTTGACTGCCTAAAGTTCAGAAGCACTTTGTGTTTCTGCCAATTGAATCAACTATGGAAGTCTTACTAAGACTGGCATTGCATTTATTTAATTTACCTGAACAACTCTGTTGCTTTTTCTTCCTTATTTCTTCTTTTAATTGGCTCACCTCTGTTAAGAGTTTCTCTACAGATCGTTCACTGGCTTCTACTGTAGAGCATATTTTCTGCAAGGAAAAGAGCATTTGATGGAATTAATGGTGTTCATAGAAGCTGACTTCAACCTTGTTGCAAAGGTACTCATGATTCTATGTTGGATACAAAGTATCAAAAAGCTTAAGTGATGAGCTTGAGGTGGATTTTAGAGATGATAACCTAAACCTCATGTTTGAATAAAGTGCAAGATGTTTTACTTATTCCCATCTAAGCAATAGAGCTCTGACAAGCTACAGATAGTGCTTCTTCAAAATAATCCTCTTGTGAGAATTTATCGGTGGACTTGAGGATTTATCAGTGTGCTTTTGATCAAATGGAAACTTAAGTCTTCAACTTTGAGAACTCAGTGTACAGCTACTAACAGTGAACGGAACTCTGATCTTTCATCGCTTCCAAGACACAGCTTTGTTTCTCATTTAGTGCAAGATGGTATAACCTTTGCTTGACTTGGTTTTGTAGTACTGCTGGAAGTAACTGTATCGATAGGTGTGCCTGCCTTACCTTCAGTTCCTGCTGCAAGGTGGCATACATTTCCTTTATCTTATGAACCTCTTGTAAGGATCCATCCTCATAAAAGAATTCTGACCTGTGGACCAAGAATGTAATTGTATAATTGCAAGTTAATAATCCCAGTGCTTACTTGGAAGCTATAATGAGAAGGATTTTGAGCTTCAACGCTAGGTGTCTATGTTGAAAAAGACAGCTGCTCTGACATCTAAGTATAGGACTTACCTAATTTCCAAGTACCTTGGAAAGGTAAATAATTGCAGGAAACAGGTCAACAAGTGAGCAGGGTATGGCTATAGCATTTGCAAAAGCACTTAAAAGACTTGTATAGAAGGGTAACTATACTTCTCTTAACTGAAAGCTACAGCTATCAGTAAATATGGCATACTGTACCTGTGTTGTCTTACTGCTCTCACAAAACCAGAAGATACACAGGAACCGGACACTGTTCTGTAACCTTGCTGTTCTGCCATACCCAAGTTGGTAACCACCAAAGGAACTTTCTGGAAAAGACTTAAAAAGCAGAAGTGTGAGAACATGATTTATTAACATAGCTAAAGATTACTGACCATTTCACATTCCAGATGGAAGTTTACAGTATAGCTTGTTCTTGTTAAATGTATCACATCACACATAGATGACTACTTATGGCTAAAGGCAAATTGCAAGAGCAACAAGACTAAGCACTGCCTCTAGTTTTCTCCTGTTTCTGGTTATGAGTCATCACGTGTAGCTGAAGTCCTATACACAAACACAAACTGATCAAGAACAACTTATGTGCATAAATGAACTGACAGTGTCTGCCTGTTGACACTGGCACTGCAGACAGTTATAAAGGCAAATCCCTGAATAGAACTTCACGGTAAGATTTCAACTGGGCTCTAGCAATATAAGGAATAATCTTATTTAATGTGTAAGTTTCAAGGGTGAAAAAAAAAAATAGTTAATTCAGCTGCAACAAAGAAAAACCCAAACTGTTCCAAGTTGTACCATGTGCTGTGCTACTGCTTTATTAAAACTAGAGAACAAATCAATTACCCTTCTTGCGGCCGATGTAAGGCATGTTCCAGTCTGTAGGTAGAACAGCTTTCTGTCATCACGCTAGAAGTTAATAAAAGGAACACAAGGCCCTGATTTGACAGATGTGACTGTAAATTCTTATGAAGAAGTCTTTCCCGGAATGTCATGGTCTGGTCTGTGTTGCGTCTGAATTTGTACCATCCTATTACACTCTGCAGGCAGAAGAGAAGTCATTATTACTGTTAAATGGTAATTGTCCCTGCATGTCATATTGAAGCAAGTTAGAGGATTTAGTACGAAGTCATGAATCTCATCTTTGTTTGCTGATGTGTATATATTCAAGAAGTTAGTTAACTTGAAACCCTTAAGCCATCTAAGCCTAATTCCAGTATGACAACTTCTCTCCTTCCTTCAAAACTATGTGTTTAACTGGCCTGTTTTCTGAGCTTGTGCACAAGCTGAAACTCTGCAAACTTTGTTCTGCTCATTTGCTGTTTGTCTCTTTCCAGCTTCTCCTTTCCCCTTGTGAAACCTTCTTCTGTGGAGAAGACTAAATTGTTTTGGTCAAGTAGCACTTAACCACTTCAACTGTTACTGAAATTGGTAGAATTCCTTTGGGATATTTGAACTATTTGCTTAAGAAATGAGTAAGAAAAAAAATTTGACATATATGTAGGCAAACCCTAGTCAAAACCAACCTAAACTGTTATTTAGGGAGCAGAAGATGATGCAACTGCCTTGACTAGCATTGTGAGGGACTAGATAGAATATCTGAGGAGGAAAAAAAAAAGGCTTCATACAAGAGGTGTCTGGAACAGGCCCCAAAATCTGAGCAAGCTCCTTGGTATAGTTAATGTTTGAAAACAAAATACCTTCTTGTAGCCCGATAGTATTTTCTTCAAGGCAAGCTCATTCAGTTCTCCCGCAGAATTATAAAAGCTAGAAGAAAATTAGGAAAATTAGAAGAGAAAAAAAAAAACCTACTGTAGAAATAATTACTCCCTAGCAGTCTGGCAGTCATCTCACTTTCATAGCTTTTTTTTTTTTTTTTTCCCCAGTAAGCATAAAGATATGCTGACACAGCTTCTCTGCTAGGACAGTGCAGTTATTTCATGATGCTGTTCTGGCATCAGTGCTACTGGGACACAAGTTAAAGGTAGCACCTGTGTTCTCTCAACTGTAAAATAGTAAAATGCCTTCAATTTGTTATGAAATGCTTTTTGAATAACAATACGTTTTAAAAGATTTGAGAAGGAAATGGGGTTGTGATTCTCCCCTTACAGGGATGCAAACCTGCACAGCTGTGTTCCCATCTATGATGGAACTCTAAATACTAGTCCTTGAAACTACTCCTGCCATGGGGCTAGCAAGTGTTTCTTTTTCTGACTTAGTATCAGTCATAGGCAACTACCTTTTTTCTTTTTTTTTTGAGGGTGAGGGGTTGGGATGTATGTTTTTGGAGAAGCAATGGTTTTCTTTTTCAGTATGTAGGCATTATTCTGCAGTTTATATGGTATCATAGCTCACCAGAAGGTGCAGTATGCCATATCTCTCTACACGCACCGACAAACACCAAAAAACGACATAATGAACCAAAATAGGAGTAACATAGGGCATTTTATACCTGTAATTCCAAGGGGTTGATATGGCTATTGTAGTTACAACTGGGTGATTTTCTCAGTAATGTAACTTAAGTTTAGAAGAGTTCAAGTATAGGGTTAACTTTTTCATATCTGTTTATTTAAGATTCTTACCTGAACAACTGGTAGCATGGAATGTGCTTCTGTATATCTGGAAAGAGAAGGTAATATTACTCTCGGTTCATCAGTTCAAGATGTATATTCTGTATGCTGTGATCAGAACTAAACTGGTGGAAGAACTAAGAAAGATTTCTATATAATTTCTCAAAATCAAATGCATTAACATCTAATTAAATAAGGTTAAGAAAGTAAATACTTTTTAAAAAATATTCTAATAAAGTTTTCAAATGTAAAATGGAACCACTTATATAAACTGCATTTTTTAATACATTTTCCTGTTTTGTCAAGTGAAAGATCAAATTGGGCACTTTATTTTTCTCTCCCTTCTCTTGAGTACAGGAGTAGTATGTAACACTAAAGATTTCACTTGAGTTACTCTGCAGCAAGGCATGGATGCTGCTAGTAAGAGAGATGAGGCTGGAGAACAGAACCATGTAAGGTAGATGACTACTGCAAGACTGATTACCAGAAAAAAAAAAAAAAAAACAGCAGGTGATCTAATGGCATTCTAAATCATTTTCTTTTCCCAAGTTCTCCACTAGTTTAATTTTCCCAAGTTAACAACAAAAAAAAAGCCCCAAACTTTGGAGCAACTAACTCTGTCTGTGAGAATGTGATGATGAGACTCTGGGTAACTTGATCAATGCCACCACAAAAAAATACCCACATCATTTTTGTTTCAGCTGTGAGACTCAGTGGAAGAAAGTGTTATACCTTAATTGTATCCTGGAGTAAAACTAGAAAATGGGATGTAATTTCTTCCTACCATATTTTCAGGAAGATTGGAAAGATGGCACATACTGTATTACCTTGTTCAATTTCTTTGTGTATAACTGCATTTTAAAGGAATGGAGTTAAATGTGTGTGCATATGCATGTACACATTTTTGTTAAGGGCTAGTATAAAATTCATATCCACTCCAATCCTATCAACTCTATAAATAAAAATACATCTGGCATCTGCTCAATGAAATACGTAAATAGTTTGCAGCCTTTACACACAGTATTTTATAAGCTCTAAATTAGGTAAAAGATGCTAACACATTACAGTTTACATCACTGAAACAGGCCAAATTTTTCCAGGGCAACTGTAGTCCAGGAGTTTGTGAGGCGGCCAAGACAAAGGAGTCTAAGCCTTAAATTACCTTTAATGTGACAAGATATTTGGCAAAGAGGAGCTATTCAATGAACTAAGAACTAGTATTTCTGTTAAATTACTATATTTTCTACAGTAAAACTGTTTTGTAGTAATTAAAATGTTACAAGATAACCTTTCTATGTGTGTTTTTACATCAGTGTGGACCCCAGGATCTAGCAGCTCTGATCCTGTAAGGTGTTGAATGCCCTCATTCAAAACTGTAAGCACACATGTACTGCCTGAAACCAAGTACGGTATTAAAAATGCAGACAGACTAACCGATTGTATAAACAACTTCCACATCATCCATTTGTGAGTCAGTAATGCTGTTCTTGGCTTCACCTTTCACATCTCCGAGGAGAAAACCTTCCTTTATAGGGGGAGAGAAAGTAAGAATTCACATTAACAGTAGCATCAAACAGGACTGTGTTTTGTATGAATAGTGTAAATGCCATCTTCAGATGTAAAAAGCTGTCAAAATTACCTTTTTTAAAAAAAAAAAAAAAGAGAGTCGGTTCTCACTCATTTTTGAATACATGCCTGTATTTAAGTAAAAAAAAAAAAAAAAAAAGGTGGAATGTGTACTCCATTCCTCACGTTTCTGAGGCGAGTCGTGTGTGGCGGCACAGGCGCTGCCCGGCTTAGGCCGGAAGGCCCGACCGGCGTTTCGGCCGGCCCGCGGCGGGCGCGCCGCCGCCACACCTCCTCGCTTTTAAACGGAAGCGACCCCGCCATTCCCCGTCATGGCGGCCGGGTGGGAATGCACCGCCAAAACCGTGTTCCGGCACGGCGCGGCCCGGGATGGCAGCGGGGTGCCGGCGGGCTCCGCCATGGCGGCGGCGGCGTGGGGCTGCCCCTCCCTCCGCTTCCCCCCCCCCCCCCCCCCCCGCCATGTCCCACTCGCCCCGCCCCGCCCCGTCCCCTTCCCGGCGGCAGGGCCCGCGGCACCCACCGTGTCCGAGTCGGTGCTGAGGTGCTGGAAGGCGAGGGCGCCGAAGACGAAGCCCGACAAGAGGGCCGACGTGCTCTCGCCTTCCATGCCCCCCGACAATGGCGGGGCCGCGCCGCCGCAGCGGCGGGAGCCCCCAGCGGCCGCCGGCGGGAGGGCAGGGCCGGGCCGGGCCGGGCCGGGGCCGGTCGGGCACATCCCGCCCCGGGAGGGAGAGGCGGGGGCGGGAGCGGGGAGGCGTGCGGGGCCCGGGCAGCACAGGCTTCAGCCGCCATGCCATGCCCTCCCCTCAATCCTCCCTCGCTCTGCCGCCATCTTCCCGCCTCCTGCCCAGCGAGGCGCACTGCAAAAACAGCCCTTTCGGTTTGCCTTAAATGGCGTCATTCTTCACTCTACGCTTCTGGTGTGCTTTTACCCTTAAGGAGAAACAGTGCTGCGATTTAAGAAGGGTGTTCGGTTCCCCCCCCCACGCCGTGTCTCACGGAGCCAAGGGCTGCAGGTGCAGCACCAAGGGCTCCTGCCTGAGGGCGAGGCGTTGTGGCCTCCACCATCCCTGCCAGCTCTGCAACCTGACAGAGCTCCAGGCCGAATCGCAGCGCTGGTGCTCTCTAGAAGCGCCTCCTTGGCTTTAGTGAAGTATCAAAAGAGCTTTTAAACAGAGCCTGCATCCAGCTGGGAGCATGGGTGGGAGTGAGCTGGGTTCATGTCTTCGCCGTGGGAGGGTTGTGTCATGGCGGGCTGCAATCTGACAAGGCATGGGCCTGGCCGAGCTCCTCTCTGCGGCAAGGCTGTGCCTTTGAAACAGGATGTGCAGCTGCATGGGTATGGAGGTGCGCACGGTGAGAATCTGCTGAGATAATAGCCTAATAAACTGTGATAAGGAAGTAATAAAATGATAATGCTAAACAGTGGTCTGACAGCTGTAAATTGTAGCACTCCTTTCCCCAGATATTGGCTGAGTTTGCAGAATGTTTGTTGTCTTTTTACAGTAGTCACGTTTGACTTCTTTTTAATATTTGTAGTAACATATTTTTTCATACTCTAGCAGGTGTTCCTGACCATATGACCCAGAAGAAAGCTCTAGAAAAAAAAAAATTCAGGAAGGGAGAATTAAAAGTGACAGCATTCTTTGAAACGTAATCAGAGATCTGGTCTAAAGGCCGCAGGAGTTTTTACCCTGCGCTTCTGGAGAGCAGATGTTTGATTTCATCCCTCACCAAGGCTACAGCTAAGTATATTCTTAGCCTTGGACATTAATTTCTTGACTCTTGAAATAGGATGTATGCTTCTGTGGTCTTTCATGAGGTGTTTCCACGATTTTGGGGTCTCACACATGTATTTTTAGGTTGCATAGAAAATTAACCTTTTCAGTGCAATTTCTTTTCCCTTAAAACTTGTTGGCAAGATTTAGATGGAGAATGGTTAGTTCTGGCATATTTACATTTCAATAAAATTCCTTAAATATTGTTTAAAATCTATGTGAATGATGGCAATATTTAGAAGAGGAGAATTGTTGTGATTCTTACCTATTGTCATAGTGGAGAGAGGGATCAGCTAAGACTTTTATTTCTCAACACACTCATAAATTATCTAGATAAGGAGGTGACGAGTCTCCAGATGATACAGAATGATTGGCAGGATTAATGGGAAAGAGCTAATATGTGTATCTTGCAATGCAGGCCATGTGGTATTAAACGAATGGATAGTAAGTACAACACATCTGAAGGGATAGGGTGCAACAGATGACTTCATTACGGACCATGTTGCCACGGTGGAGACAACAAGAACAGATGGATATGACGAGCTTCCGTAGCTGTTTGAGGAGAAAATGATGACATGAATGCTGACATCTTTCAGAAATTGCCCCAAAGGGCCGTGTCTGTGATTGCAGTCATTCCTAAGCCAGAGCTGTGAGAAAATTTTATGCATTTAATCAATGCAACAAATGTTGGGCATTGATAAATTATTCTGTTGCATTCAACATCGGTGATACTCAAACCATATACAAGATTTATATTGACAATGTGAGATACGTATTGACAGTCATGTAATGCCTACACATCTGACAGATTGTTGATACATTGCTGAGGCAAACAAATACAGTCAGAACGGGTAGTGGACTTCCCACTTTTGTGATACAAAGATGCAAGCCTGTTGTAAGCAACAGGATATGATAAATAAGGTTCTGTAGGTGTTGCATTTACCTTGTGTGGAAACGATAATGCTTGTGTGGTCAGAGCTAAATGTGTTACAGTCATGCTAATGAGTGATACAATACTTAAACATACTTCTTCAGTGTTTTCATAATTCAACTCTTGATGGCCAAAGATAAACCATGAATAGCACAATCTTACTGCAGTCAGATATAAACACAGATTTGCTTAGTGGCGTAGATGGGATCAGTGCAGACCTAAAGAGCAGCAGGCATGGATCAGTTAGAGTATGAATGCAGAGGAGTGGATATTTGCACTTTAATGTGTGAAGATAGCGTGGTTTCCATAAATAAATATTGTACCTGTCATTGCTTAGCCTGCAATAGGTGATCTTTAAGGTCATTTTGGCCTTCTGGAGGATTTTTCACAAGTGAAGCATGAACCTCAGTCTTGATAAAAGTTGAAACAAAACTACCAGAGATTATTTCACCTTTGAGTGGCAATCAGGTGAGTAATTTGCTGAATGGGAGGTTGAAACTTTGAGAAGATACAAGAAAAAAACAAAAGGGCCTTTTTTTTTTTATTATAGCAGGTAAAAGTTTAATTGAAAAATAGGTATTCTTATTAGTTTTCATATGTGAGTACACACATCAGAATTACTGGAATGCAGAATGCTCTGGGCAGTCCTGTTTGAAAGACTTTCTTATCCTGCAAAACATAATCCCAGTACCCCTGGATGTTAAGAGATGCTGGGAAATCAGCCCAGGTTTGCTGCCTCGACTTTGTGTCATTGACTTCCAGGGCTTTTCTAAGTAGATCCGTCTGCTTTGCTGTCTCTGTAGCATGACAAAACTTGCATAGAAATACCAGGGAGCCCTACAACTGGAGTCGGAGGAACAATTTTAGCAGTACTAACAAATTTATGTGCCTAATGACAATGCTAGGGTGTAGTTCTGGATGTAAGCAGCTTTTGATGATGTTGCAGCTCAAAACGGGTAAACTATACCCTGTGTATGTACTGTAAAAAATGAAGATCAACTGATAGAACGTTGACCGTGATCGGTAGTTGTGGAGCCTGCTGTTGTTTGCCTCAGGTAGAAATATCTCTTTGTTAATCTGTAGGCAGTGTGTTACTTCAGCATCTGAAGTAACACCTGGCTGAAGTTGATGTGTCAGTGCTCTTTTGGAACAGTATCTGCTAGGGACAGACAATGTTCCAGTAGTCTGATCAAAAAGATGCTGTAAGAAAGGTGGGCTGGTATCGGCTGCAAACTCTCCTCTGACATCTCTTCGGGCATCTTTTGGAATCACTGGAATTGTTAGTATTGGACATGAAGGAGTCATACCTGGAAAGAGCGGTTCTCAAAACTTCTGTGTGATTCCTTCTCTTTAGAGGCCGCACCGAGTGTTCTTTCTGGTCCATTTTTCACCGTGGGTAACATCAGAGGGAAGGCAGAACCACAGCGGCGCTCTCTGAAAGCTGTTATGCCCTAATGCAGTTTCTGTCTGTTCACAGCGTATATGCACCTCCTTGAAAGATGGCTGCTGTACAGCCACTCTTTGGGAGGAAAAGGCTGTTTATACCTGATTTAACCCTTCCATATGAAGTGCTACAGAGAGGCAGATGTCAGTGTTGTGTTTGCTTCTCCTTGCAGTGAAAAAATAAATGGGTCATAATTCCAGCTCCTTCAGACAATTGCAAAACATTGCCTAATAATAAGAAATTAGTAGAATGACCTCAACGATTGAGAGCCAAGAGTAGGCAGCTGCCACCCACTCCATCTCCTTCTCATTTTCCTGGGAGACCAGGATTATCTTCATTGTTTCAAGTGAATTTCTTATGCTTGCAGGTTAAATTGCTCTTGAATTCCTCCTGTGTCAAGATCACTGTCTTCTAAGTTAGATTTAATTCTTTCGAATGAACAGAGAGTTTTGCACGTTTACTGTCCTGTGACTTTTCCTGACATCTAGGGTACTTCACCATAAAGCAGTGCTTGTAGTTCTTTGGTATGGATTAATCAACTGTTATTTACTGGACCTTACAAATGAAACTATGTTCTGTTGCTGCATGTTTATCTGAATTATTTGTAATAACTTCACGCTTCTGGATAAAGTATCTCTTCCAGCTTCAAAATGGACGTGATTGCAGCAGGCTGGCTATTGGTAAGAGGGATAAATTTTGAAGTAATAAAGAAATCAGTGGTTGTGATGAGGCGTAATAAGCTATGCCAACTTTCTGGCTGGAAAATAGGAAGCTGTGTTGTGAATTGCCTGGAGAAATACAGAATTTCCTTCTACACATCATGAGCAAGTGCATCACCTTCATACAGGGCAGAGATACAATTCAAGTACAGATTTACTTCTATAGCAATCCTGAGTGCTTTGGACTTAAGAAGTAGACCTGCTTTGACTACCATGTCTCAGTTGTTTCCATGCTTATGATCCCAAGAGCAAAAAAAAATGCTTTAGCAGCTTTGCCAGCCACTTGTGGCAGAAAGTTAATCAAGACTGAACTCCTTGGTTGTGATTGGGCCAATTCCAGTACTCAAGCTCATTATTTAGTGCCTTTTGGGACAACTTTCCATTACATTAGAATTTAGAATTTTTATTCCATACTGTTAATAGGTAGATGTAGAGGCTCTTCTTGATTTTGGTGTCATTCCGAATTTGGGGGTGTTTTTTTTTGTTTTTTTGTTTTTTTGTTTTTTTTTTTGTTTTGTTTTGGGGTTTTTTTTTTTTTTGTTTGTTTGTTTTTATTATTTTTTCCCCCCTCTCCAACCATGTGACATTAGAGGTTTGCATTAGAACAGTAAGAACACTGAAATGTTTTGCATAATTTCAGAAGGTACAAAGCAGATAAAGCAAAGGATAAAGGTAAGTGGAGACCTGGCCATATAGATCTTATAGTGCCTTTGGGCTAGATAGTTTGACCACCTCAGTAGAGAGGCTACTGGCAGCTCTTCCTCTTCTTTTCACTTTATGTGGCCGTGCCAGCCCTACAGCCTCCCCTTTCACATCCCTGCAAGGAGCTGGGGCTCCCAGGCTGGCCCATGAATTCAAGGTGATGCTTTCACTGCAGTGAGTTGTGGTGCTGCGTGTCCAGGAGCAAACTGAGTGGAATGGGTGTAGTAATTGTCTTTTGCTGTGTGGCAAATGTGACACATTGGGTGAAAAGCAATAGATTACCAAAGACTCTCTGTTTTATTTGTTCTCTCTCCAAACCTGTTCTGCTTTTTTTTTGGGTTATGGCTGCGATAGCTGTCTCAGCAGCTCCAGGAAACCTCACATGTCTTGGACTGATTGGTGTGTCAGGGAAAATTATAGCTGACAAAGGGCTATAGTCCCATCATTCATCATGATGGAGGGGTTTGCTTGCTCTCTGTTTTTTTAGAAGGTGGCAGAGAAGAATTACAGTGTCTGCCTGTGCTCCTAGTGTGGCAGAGAATATGACTTTGTAAGGGCCAGACAGGCAGTGCAAATCATAAGATCTTGCAGAATGGAGAACAATTCTCCCTTATTCAGGAAAGGAAACCACTTCTTCCTCCCTCCAGGGATGGGGAACTATGTCTTTCCCTTTTTCCTTTTAAGACATGATCCCTCTTTTGTGTGCCTGGGCTTATTGCTGAGGCATCCCATTAAGAGAATCACCACCCCTTTCCGTGACTTCACGGTGTGCTGTCAATACTTCATTTGGCCCACCTTTCCTGCCTCTGATCAGGTCCCAGAAACTACCTCCACCCTCCCGCCCACAAAGTTTTTAGCACCCAGATGACATGCATGCTGATCCCCTGTGCCACGTCTGGAAGTAGCTGTTCAGAGATGCACTGCGTCATGTTGGAAGATCGTCCTGCTCTCTACCATGTGCCATCCTAGGGAACGTGAGTTAGCAGGGCAAGCCACTTGAGGAAGAGACCAGAAATGAGAATGGAAGGAATGGTAGCTAAATAGGAGTGGGTGAGCAAAGCTGGTTTACAAACAATGTAACACTGGTCTTAGAGAAGCCTAGAACTAGAGCTTTCTGGTGAACTAGTGTAATGGTGTGCCTGGCAGCAGCAGGGTAATGAGTGAGTGAGGGGCTTGAGGCTGCCATTGAGAGAAAGAGCAGTGGGAGGGCAGAAACAATTAAAACCCAAACCAGTAAGATTTTGTAGAAGGCACAGAAGACTCAGAAAGAGGTCAGCAAGGGGAGAGAATGTAAAGCAGGTAAATAATGAAAAGAACACGCAAAAGAAAAGTTAGATTGCTAAAGGAGATGTGATACAGCTACAAAGACCCGAGGGATGGCATTCAGCAGTAAATCTGAAGATGCAAAAGCTACTTGACTCGTTATATGGCACCAGAAGCATGTCATGGTATCATGTGAGCTTACAACATGTCAAGAGCTTGCTTGTTGGTGCCTGGGTGAATGGTATAAACTGGAGGACTTTGTGGTGATGCAGCCTACTCTGATACCTGTGCTTCTGTTGCTGTCCGGAGAGCATTGGGTGCACTTTTTGCAGAGGATCTTTGGGTTTTGCTTTTGTTTCTAAGGAATCCAGTTTGTGTGTACCAGGGCTGCTCCACAGCACAAACCAAACAATGGTACGTGGGGGTGGAGATATTTTAAAAGGACAGCTCCAGCTTTAGACAAACATGCTACTGTAAGCATATGCAGAGGAAAGATTTCTTGTGGACCAGCATATCAGTATCTTGGAAGCTAAATCCTAAATGCTCATTCCACCAAGGTTAGCTTATTTATTCTGTGATAAGGTCATAAATGAGCAGCTGGTAAGCTTCTCTTAGGTTCTAGAGATGCAGTTATTCACCTTTGTTTCTTTTGTGATGCATAGAAAAAGGCAGGAGAAGAGTCGGTGTAAGGCACTGAACTGTGTCTTTCCTAAAAAATACTGAATTAAATTATTGGCATTTGACAGGATAGGAGAAACCTGTTTATCTATTGTATTTAAATTCTGTAGTTGAAGAGATGCAAAGGTAGGTGACTTGTTATTTCACCACATTGCATTTTGTAACCCTGTAATACCGTTTGGCTCATTTCTTGTAGAGCAGTGGAGGGAGCAGGTTTTATTGTATTGTTTATTCCTCCCTGCTGGAATTTGCATCTCCATTTCACAGGTGTTACTATAAAATAAAAAGGCCTGACTTGCTCCTCAAGCTTCAGTTTGGTTCCTTTGGTCAAATACCAAAACAAGGCACTCATTTCACCATGAAGTAGAAGGTCTGACCAAATAAATCACTAATTTGAGAAAACATCAGTTGGAGAAGTGCTTCGTGTGTGTTTAAATGAGTTTTAGAAGAGAAGATTTTAGGCAGTCTGGAAACCACATCTACTTGGCTCTGCATCATAACTTACCGGTGAGATGCTGTGTGAAAACTAGTTGACACTGAACAAGTTTCCTTATTGACAGTATCATATTACTGAATATATAACTTACATTTTTTTCTTTCTTCTCCCCTGTATTATATCTGGTGAGTAAATGCTTATCAATTCAAAGGTAAGTGGGTGGAGTTAGGGCGGGACAAGGGCTAGAAATTACATTATCATTGAGGACACCTGTGGTGTCAGTTTTCAGAGGGCAGCAGCCTTCTCCCAGGGATAGCTTTGGCTCTTAGAATGTGTAATTTTTATTTGCCTCTGTCTCTGGAAGCTTGCTGGCTTCTCCACTACAGATGAGAATAGATTCTTAGAAAGGCAGCAGGTTGGCATTTTGAAGGAGCAAGCATGGAAGAAAATAGAGAGGGCTATGGCCTTACAGAGGGCAAGATTTTGTCTATCTGGATGATTTTGTTCCTGGTGTTAGTTTTGTTGCCTTCGATGTTTAGAGTGTCACTGGGGATTTCTCATTTCTATGTGAAAATTGTAATAAAAATGTTAGAGGTAAGTTGAGAATTGGGTTAAAAAAAGGTATGTGTTTGCTACAGGACATGTTTAATAAAAAAATAAAAATCTGTATGTTTGATATAGATGCCATGAAAGTCAGCAGAAACAATTCCATTAATTTGGGTATGTTGTTTGCAGCTTTAACTTAAGTGATGGTTCTTTTGAATGGTATCTTTAATGTTATCTAGTTATGTGCTGGGTCATAATCTGGTATCAGTTTGAAGTTTTTTGGGGTAGAGATTCCATGATATATTGCTTCTAGTTCAAGCTGGTTAGAATAGTTCATACTATACTCATGATAAGTCAAATATAAATAAAATTATGTGCTACTTTATGGGAGTTTCTAAGTAACAGGAACGTGTATTTTAGATATACATAAGTTTCAATGGTTTTATTTGGATTATTTTAATTATATGGTATTAATGTGTACTGTTCTAGGTAGGAATACTGACTCTGTGTGTTTGCTTTTCCCACTTACAAATCTGGGGGATCTAGCAGTCACAAGTTCTGCTGTATGAGACTTGAGGGATCTATGCAACCTTCTGAAAGAGTAATTTTTCTAGAGATGAACAGGTCATGGGTAATATCCTGATTCTGCTAATATCAGTAAAAGTTTTCTGGAGCTTTTAATAAGCCAGAATTGCATTTAATTTTTCAAGTTTGACTTTTCATATCCATCAGTGGCTAAAAGTAGGTGCTGTGAATTCATCATATTGAACAGTGAAGCATTTTTCTTTTCCAGTAGATTAACCTTGTCTTTCTGGCATAAACCTGCTTTTCATTAATATACTTTCTTCTTGTGGCAGAAAAACTTATTACTAGTATTGTTACTATTATTAAGCTGTTAAAGCCATCTATTTGTGCAGTAGAACATGTCTATAACAATGGGATACAGTTAATATCATGACTATTTTACCTTGTCAATTCTATCTTATTTCTGTCTTACAATTCTTCTGTCTCTTATTATTTTTTATTTTGGTACTGATTAAGAGCTCTTGGGCAGGGACTGTCTTCAGCTGTATGAACATAATTTAGCATAGTGAATGTGACTGCAGACTTTGGGGGTTGCTTGTTTTTTCAGATGCTGATGTTAATGGGAAATGGCTGCCTGCAGTGGCTATATATAATATTGGATTTTATATGTGATAGTTTTTTTTTATCAGCCAGTGGTATGCTAATGAAATTCTTACTGGTACCCTGAGTAGGAGGCTCATGACACTTGTATGTGGAATTGATTTAATCAGGTGCTTTCATATCAAACACAAACCTGAGGAGGTCTTTGTATAGCTTTGCTGCTACAGTTGGCAGACATCAAAGTAATTTCTGTGTTTTTTTTTCCCCATGTGCATTTCCCAGTTTTGAAGGACACTTGACCTACTCAGTGGGTGCTTAATATAGGAAGGCACGTCTTGTTGGACAAGCACATGAAAAGTTTTTCTTTTCACAGTTTTCATAACAGGTTATGAGCATGATATTTTTGTGTTCATAATGTGGAGGATTAATTTAACAAAAAAGAAGTAATTAAGTTTATTTTTATGCAGTCAGATACAGCCTTTTACGTTTAGTTCCTCAATGCCACAGCAGTTAGTAACAGGAAGAGCACAGCTCTGTGTGATGCAGTTCAGGCTGGTTTGTTTTGTTATTTAGTTGAAAGTTGTTCCCTAATTGTCCTGTGGGCAAAAAAGGAGTTTCCTCTGTCTTCATCTTATGATTAATTTCAGCTGTTTTCTTTGAAGTATTGTTCAGATGCTTCTTATCGTGCTGAAAAGGTAACTACTTATTTTGGCCTGAAATAGGAGAGGGAGAGGATGGAGGGAATGTTAGGTTCCCTTTGCTTGTGCTGTGGTCCTTGGCTCTTTGGAAGTAAGGGTAGGGTTGGGGAGTGCTGGATTAAAGCCTGTGCATGTGACTGCTGGGCCTCTTCTGGGAGTACTGGGGCTCATTGGCCTGAATATGGCCAAACTTGCTGCTTGGGATACAGTTAGCTTTAAAGCAGGCTTATACACGCCCTTCTTTCAAAAAATGAACCACTTGACATTGATAGCCTAGTGAAGTGTTGACTTGGTTCTAGCTGTGACGTTATCTACCGCAGATCTTGCTAACAGGGTAATGCACAAAGACCATCCTTGGTCCCTGTTGCTAGCCTGAATGGTGAAATAGGATGCCTTACCAGATAGCTATGCTGAAAATGCCAAGAGCAAATGCTTAGTCATCTGTTGGCACGCTACTGACTATATTGCAGGAATATCGGCAATCTTGGAAGTACCAAACAACTGGTTGATGTTTCACCAAAAATCCAACCTTGATCACTGTGACTGAATTCTGAAAATGACTGTTGCATTTGATTTAGTCTGTTATGTAGACCAGCAAAATTAATAGAAGACTTCTCACCTGAGAACACTTTATATTTGTTTCTTACAGCTTTAAATGACTATGTAAATTGGGAGGCAGAGGGAAAACATGTTTTATTTTCCTCTGTGTTTTGTCAATTTGAAGAAAAATAATAATAATGACTGAAATAAAGGACTTTGAAAAGAATATCTTTTGACTTTAAAGGTGTGTTTTCAAAGAAAGCATATCTGTAGCCCTTACTGAATTTGCTGGGAGCTCTAGGTATTCTACAATAAAGTCCAAGTTTGCAGATCTATTACTAAGCAACGAGTAATGGTAGCATGTGATGAGGTAAGTAACTGATTTCCTGACTTCAGTGAAGTGTTTTGGCAGTGCGAACAGTGACTGGAACAAATGGAAAGAATTTGTACCCTTTGCTGCTTCTCCATCAAGAAATCTAGATAATTGTGTTTTAGAAAGAAGCTTTTTTACAAAAGCAAGATTCAAGGTTTGAAAATTTGGGGAGTGATTGTTTTTGTTAGTGGTAGGTTTCTTTTGTTTGGTGTTCTGTTTTTTTTTGTTTTGTTTTGGTTTTTTTGTTTGTTTGTTTGTTTGTTTGTTTGTTTTTTTAATGGATACTGCAATAGTAAAATATGTCCGAGACAGTATTTTCTCAGTTGCATAACTGATAGCCCATAATTGCTATTACCATTCATTTATCCTTAAAATATTTCTGGAAATGATAAAGATGAATTTGGCTTGGTTTCCTGCAGGATTATTCTTTCACGTATGTTTGTAAGCTTTTATTCTTGAAATAATGTGTTTTTCTCTACGCTTTCTATTTGCTTGTCTGTAATGAGTTTTGGTGGAAATGACGATACTAGAAAAGCTGTGCTAGGGACATTATTCCAGCTCCTTCGTGTTGCAGCTGCAGAAGAAAATGCATTTGATAGAATGAAACCTACACCATGCTCTCACAGTCCTGTGGAGAGTCAAATAAACATGTTAAACAGCTGTAGCCCCATTTGCCAAGAATTTTCTGGAATTTTGAGATCTGAGCTTCTGTATGAAATTGGAGTATTGTTTCTTGAGAAATACTTGTGTGTAGTGAAGACATCAGCCAGCTAATAATTGTGGATATTTGAATTGATAGCTCACTTGTACATTGAGGTAGCTAATATGCTGTCAACTCCCACTGGAGTATGGGCAGATGTTGCAGACACTTGAGGTAGTGGAAAAAGCTCATTACTGTGCTTTCAGATACATGGTTGTCATAAGCTAGCTACTGCATCAAAACCCAAAGAAATTATACATGTGCTTTTATCCCAGACAAATGTTTGGGACCCTTCTCAACCTATTTCATCTTCCCTCACTAGAGCAGCCAGGAGATTTGTGAGTGCTTTTCACGGTCTGATTGCAGAGAGTCATTGCTTGCAGATCTTCTTAGACATGCAATGTAATACACCCATTTGCTCTGGGTTCTTGTTTGGGACATGAAAGGGGAAATGAGGCTGGAAAGGACTGTTGATGATAAGGTTGTAAGTGCTTGATCTTAAATGGTGATTTTAGCTTGCATTAAAAACCTACTGACCTGTTTGTAATTGTATTGGAAGGCTTTAAATGGAGTAACTGCTCCAAGGCCTTTGACACACATGAGAACAAAGCTGAGAGGATTGAAAAAAGCCAGTGTAATAAGTGGTTAGAAAAAGCTTTTGTGAGAACGTGGGAGAAGAGTTAGTAAAATATGGGAAAGTAGATGGAGAGGCAAAACTGAATTATTACATAGTACAGAAGAATGGAGTACACACCAAGCTGTACCTAAAAAGAGAGGAAAAAACAAAAGTAGTGAGATATTTAAAGATAAACATTCCATACTGTATAGCTTTTCATGTCACATACTACAAAGAAAGTAATGAATATAACGAAGCATTAGGCACCCTTATTTTGTTCAGAATGGAATTATAGGAGGCCTCAAAGAAATGGGCTGTTGGAGTTAAGCTGTCAAGTCTTCATTGTTTCAGATGGGATCACCTGCTGGGTGTTTGGACTACCTGTGTCCTCATCACTTCAGAAATGAGAGGGAGGAAAGCACAGCACCGGAGTTCTCATTCGGTCAGCAAGTTAAGAATGAAGTTGCTTCATGTAACAAGTAAATTCTATGTTAGTTGCAACATCCATGTTTTTGTAAGGTATTTAAAACATCCTTTCATTACAGTTTTGCAATAAAGACCAGCATGACAGCTGTGTCGCAATGCTGTGCAAAACAAAGGCAATAGCAAAGCCTTATTCCGCATTTTAAAAACAAACATACAGATGCTACCGAATACAGAACAACATAGCGATTACTGTGCTGGGTCAGTCTGGAGTTTGACCCAGACAGACAGCCTGGCTCTGACAGGTGTCAACTCAATTGCTTGACGAAAAGCCTGAGCTGGGTGATTGTACGGCCTTAGTGCTGGGAATACCCTCTCAGCTGCTTGTTGCTTCAGGAGGGTTTTGTGTCCCAGTGATGATGTTCATCCACATTTTTATGTAACTGCTCCCACTTCAGTTGATCTCTGGCAATATGTCCTGGACAGTGAACTCCACTACTTAAGAGTGTTTTATAGAAATACGTTACCTCTTTCTTGCTCATACGCCCTGCCCAACGCTTTCATGTGATGCCCTCCAGTTCTTGTATTAGAAGAGAAAATGGATAACTGTTCTTTATGCACCTGCTCTGTGCCAGCCCAGACGTTGTACACCTCCGTGATATGCAGTCTCAGCCAGCTCTTTTCCAAGCTAGCAAGCCCTGTGTAACCATTTACCTATCGAAAGCCCTTCCTTGTCTGCCTTGTCCTCTGCATTTGTAGCCTTGGCTGACTGTTTAGTTACAGGCTGCCCCTTTTGTTCCACTGTGCTATGAGGCACTAGGTAATAGCCTGGCAGGACTTTACTATTCAAGTTTATTAATTTTTGTTTGGTTTTGAATTGTCTTGCTCATTTGAATTAGTTAAGATATTTTTTTGTGAGTCAGCCTGGTCAGTGATTATCACCCTTTTTCTAGGTGGGATTCAAAAACCAGCCTCCTTGAGGGATTCCAAATCCTTCAAGACAGTATGAGCATGCTCACTTCTGGCAGAGCTTGCCAGCTGGCAGGTGCCTGTTCACCTAGGAGGGCCGTGATGGGCAAGATAAGGGTGGTAGACAGAAAAGCAGAGACCATGGCAAAAGCCTTTATTTGCCAAGCTAGCTGATTTTTATTTTTTCCTCTCTTATGCCATACAACTATCCTAAAGGATGTTGGTGAAGGGGTGAGGATCAGCAGCGCATTATAAAGAGGTTAAGTTTGCCACATGTCTGCCTTTACTCTCTTTTGCAACATTCTTGTTCCTGTGCCATATATTCTTTCATTTCTCAGTGTGTGGGCTGACGTTTTCATGACATCCCCTGGCTCATTTCTGAATGACTCTCCATGTACTGCAGAAGATTGAGACAGGTGATGTACCAGTTTAGCTTTCCTAGGGAATAGCTGGAAAGTATAGACAGGGTGAAGGTCTCTATTTTTATTTTTTTCTCATGGTGTTATAACAGGTGGTTTGCGTGGAGTTTAAAACATCACATCACTACCCATTCTGCTTTTTTTCTTTTAAGATGGCTGGTAAAAAAAGTTAAGGGTAACTAAAATATCCTAATTGTGTCTTGATAAAGTGTCCCTCTTGTTATTGACTTAAACTTTTATAGCTACAGAAGGAACTGATAGAGAGCACACAAAACTTAAAGATGGCAAAAAGCTAGTTGATATTGTTGGCACACGCAACGTGTAGTGAGGTGAAGACTATTTGAGATCAAGCTTTGTGGTGACTTAAATGGCTGCGTGTGTCACTAAGAGGGAAGTAAACTGTTCTGCAAGAGCTTATGCTGAAGCAGAAGGATGCATCCTTATCTGTTGCAGATGGGAAGCCTTAATAGCAGGTGAGGGCATAAGTTGTGTGGATCACTGATGCCTTAATAATGAACAGAGCCTACACGCAAGCATCGCGTGTGCTTTGTCACGGCTGATGTCTTGATGTAACTATGGGAAGATCTAGTCCTTGTGAGAGCTACTATTTCTATGTCTAGGTATGTACGATGAAAGCATTCAAAACCATGAAAACTTCAAAAATTAGTCATATTGCTATATTAAATTCTGCTAGTGGAGGAGCTTTCTCCTCCCTGTGCAGAGCAGCATAAACTTAATTTTGCAGCATAAACTTGGGTTAGATAAAGACAGGGAGGGGTGAAAGTTCATTACCAAAACTACTACTTCCAAAATACTGGGTATACGATACGGTCCCTCCTCTATATTCTTTTAGTAAAAACTGTATGAATGCCCTAAAGCTGAAGTAATCTCTTTTATTCTTTAAAATCTGGTTGAGATCCAGCATGTCTCTAATGTCAGTGATATTTTGCATCATTCTGTTGCCTGAAGCTAATTGGGGAGGACAGAGTTTTGGACCCCTGGACCTCACAGAATCTCTTTGGTAGCTCAGTGGGGTTTTGGGGTGGGTTTTTTGTTTGTCTGTTTTAAAAAATCCAAACAAAGCCAAAGCAACAAAAAACCCCAAGAAAAAAGTAACCTCCTATATCCTGAAAAGAGACTTGATCCAAACTATTTCACCTGACAGTGACAAAAGGTAATCTGTGTAACAAATGAAAGAGGAGGCATGCAGGACAGCCTTCAGGATGAATTTGAAAAATGAAAACATAAGACCTGGCCTCAATAAAAGACTTTCAGACAGTTCACCTAAAGTAATTACAGATTGCCTGGAGATGACAAAATGAAAACCATCAACATCTGCTTTTCTTGTTTTGGGAACAGTGGGCCACCCTGCAGACTGAGGAGGGAGTAAAAAAGCAGAAGGCGCTGGCACTTGAAAATTTAATCTCCACTGGTAAGATTTCTGAATTAAGGTGATACAGCACTATTTGTCTTCTAAAAAGGTGATTATTTTAATATCTTACCTAGAAAAGAGTAAACAAAAATAAACTGCATCTGATAAGTAAGAAAACTGGAATGGCCAAAATGGAGTTTGATGGGCGAATAACTGCTGAAGTTACAAACCTACAAAAGAGACCTTTTATAATGATCTGTGAATGATTGAGTCTTCTGAATAAAAGGTGTCAGAGGCTAGTGTGAGTAGAGAAAGACATTGCTGATAAGCATTTGGGAAGCTGTCCTGTTTTCATGGGTATTTTGTACTTTCTGACTCCATCAGCTCTCTCTTTAAAGATTAGGAGGAATGATTGTCCTTTGCCCTTGACATTACTGTGTATGGATTCTCTCTTACATTTTGTATCTCCCAGTGTGCAAAAAGCCAGGGTCTCTCAAGTAAAAGAGCTATACCATCCCGTGGATCACAGTTATGATTTGTACTCTTTTCTAGGCATGGGGATAAAATGTGAGAGAGTAATTTTTTTTTTTTTCCTCTTCACAACTGTTTTTAATTTCTTCTTTGACTGAAGGGGACTTGGTTAAGTTCTCACAATAATCCTTTTACTTGTAGTGCTGTTGTTAGTCGTCATTAGTTACATAGACTGGTTTGTCAGGTAATGAATTTCAGGTTTGATGATTTCCTGGACGTTGAAGGTTTGACTGAAGTGCAGCTGGAGAAAAGTCTTGTGATTCAGATTAGGGTGTGGGGGGTAGTATGTCGATTAAAATAAATTAAATTTATTTTGAATAATGCATATTTAATATCTTCCAATACCCACCCTCCACACGCCACCCCAAAAAAAGGGCAAACAAAACAGTAAAGTGTTAGCTGGTATGCATCAATACAATTTTAGTCACTGTAAGAAGCCAGATAAGAATCTGATCTCAAGAATGACCTCAGCAAGTTGCTGAGGTGCTGCCCTATGAGGTGTAATTTTCTAGATATGGAACATGAATGTGTTGTCATTCTTCCTGCACAATACTTGTGTGTTACACTATGTATATCTCGCAGGAAAATTCTAGACACTTTAAAGTTTCTTGGTAGTGTAATGACTCTTAAAAGAGAAAGGATTGGGGAAGAGGGAAGTCTCTGAGAAAGAATACCAGAGGAATGTGTTTATTACAGCTGGGAAAATGTAAAACTAATCAACAGCAGCAAGAATAACTACTACACAAACACTGCCTGAATTTGAGTCGAGGCACCAGGAAGGGTCTGCAGTGTTGGCAGTACACTTCTGACATTTCTAGGTGCATGTACATACGTTGTTTGGTAAATGACAATGAAGCAGGTGAAAGAGGCTCAAGATTTTATTTGCAGGTGTTCTGAATGCTTTCTTCCCTTCAATAATTTAGTGGTGTTATATGCCATAGGATTAGAGAAGTAACTTGTAGAACTAAATGCGAGTACATAAACGGGTAGGAGGACAGCTATTTCTAAAAAGCACCTGTATTTCACTCTCTTTGGAATCCATATTGTCCATTCCACTGTGTGGAGGGAAGACTCATTTCCTCATGCAGGGATCATCCAGAGAGAGGAAACCTCCATGGAGGAGGAGATCGCTGGCCATCACCGAGGATGCTTCAACCTTGCTGATGTTATGTACTTCTCCAAAAAGGGGTGTGAGGTAGTTGCAGAAGACGAAGTCACCCACCGGTTCTCCTCAGAGGAGCTGGTGTCCTGGAATCTCCTCAGCAGAAACAATGCCAACTTGCACCACATCAGCTGGCAACTGAGCATGGTGTGGGTTATTGGGATCCTGATTCGGTATTGCCTCCTGATGCCTTTTCGGTGAGCCAGATGTAATTTGCTGGGGTTGGTTTTTCATATTACTTTTTACAAAAGTTGTGAAATCATATGCTCTTGACTGGTGTGGGAAGGAGAACCTGGCATAACTGTGTTCCAAGATGCCACTGAAACTCAAATATCCACCCCCCCAAAAAAAGGTGCTGAAGATGTACATTTCTCATGTTGCATGTGTTTTATTGGTAATTAATTTGTTTTGAAAATCCAGAAGAACTTTATAGAAATGATCTGGAGATCTTTTTGTCATGTAAAGTAACAACTGTTTCAACTGAAAGGACGCGGCTCTACCTGTCTGAATAAGAGACAGGAAGACTGTATGCTGAACATTTGGGCTTGGAAGGAGAGCACATGGCTGGATGTGAAAAAAAGACAGCCACTTGGAATGTATCTAATTTTCAGACTTTTTAGCAAAACCAGCCTTTTATCATGTTGACCAAACAGTTACAAATATTCATCTCTTCTTGTAAAGAGCAAAAGTTTTTAAAAATTTCTTATTCTTTTGATGGTAGGACAGTATATTCAAAACATAGCTGCAGTGTGTAGAGGGATTTCATACCAGTCAGTCACATAGCAACGCACATATGTCTGTATGTAAACTTAGATATGCAGCTTAAGATGACAACGTTCATGTAGAAAAATGTTTCAATATTGTTTTTGCTCAGCCATGAGTAACCAATGATGTTTAATTTTCATGATGATAGAGTAGCTTACTGCTTGGGGTGGAAATACATACTGAAATTTCTGACTAGGTTTTTAAAAATGAAATGATGGGTCCCTTTTGGCACTGAGAAATCCCACCTGTGTTAGAGAACTCTAGCCACTACTTGCCATCCTCTTTGAACGTGATGGCTTCTTTACTATGTGATAGCTTCAGATCAAGACATGGTGCTTTTTGGAAGATAGGCTCCAGGGAGCACAAGGTTTTGTGCTCAGTGCAGGAGTGAGTGAAAACATGTTCATATTATCCTGTTGGCCTTAACTGGTTTGCATTGCTAGTTGGATGCTGTTAATGGTGGAGGGAAGCACTGTGAAATGGATCAAAGGGTTAAATAAAATATTTTCTTGCTTGCTTTCCAAGTTTTGATTTTTAGCATTTAATTAAGATTATTTTACTTCGTAGTGTCTGCTTGGCTGTTTTCAGCATCCTCTTGCTGGTCTTGGCCACTACAGTAGTAGGACAGTTTCCAAATGGCAGGTAGGTGTTTGCTGAGAGCTCTCTCCATTTCTTTTTTTATTTCTTTAAGGATTTCAATTACTCTGTTGGAATATAAGTCTGCTTGAATCTGGAGGATTAATGTGAACTATTGTGGAGTGGTGGTTTTTTTTTTTTTTCCTCTACTGTAAATTCATAGAGCACTATGAGAACGAGTATGGCAATAGCATCTGAAAGTAGACATGCAGTGTAAGACAGATACTGATGGAAGCATGTCTTAGAGTAGAAAATAAAGAGTACACTCTACTTGAGTCAAAATAGGGCAAGTAAATAATCTGTCCTGAGCAATTCCATATGAATACTCTGAGATAGTTATGTCCTGTCAGTGCAAAAAAACCCCTCAAGCGTGATTCACCAGCTAAACAATTTTATATTTAATTAATGTTAATGAATTAGTTGCTTCCAGAGAGAAATCTGTAAAACAAAACCCTGACTATTATCTTCTCTGCTTTAAATCTGGTGGGTTTAGATTAGATTATAGTAGAAGGGTAGACCAAGAATATCTTTGATACCCAATAAGCTCCTCCTGTGTGACGTTGTTAGTGTAATTGAATCTTCTTAGTATGGTCTGTGTAATAACAGCTATTGGGAATAATTTGGAGAGTTTATATTACATTTTTCTATGAGTGACTACACATAACTGGAAATGCATGTGTGGCTTCATTTCTTTTAGAGTTAAATGCTGGCTGAGCAATCAGGTTCAGATGATGTGTGCCACGTTAGGCGTCCGATGCCTGAGCGGTCTTGTGCATTTCCATAACAGGTGAGTGGTGCCACCCTGCTCCCTGTGTGCTGGGATTGATTTCTTACAGAAGTCAACGTCTCAAGTTTCAGAGCGGGATTCTTATTCCATTACTGCACGGACACTATGATGGTGCAGTTTGATCCAAGAAGCCATTTGGACCGTGTAGACTCTGTCAGGATGTTTGCACACCCTACTGTGTTTTCTGTTGTGTGTTGACAGGGTATGCAAAGGTGGAGTAGTACTGTGTTCTTTATTAAATATACACTTAGACATTTTTCTCAGTGTTTGTCATGAATGTATTATAATCACATACAAGAACACTCTCATAAAATGTTTGACTGTTCTATTAGCCAGTTTGTTTGGTAACTAATTTTTCACTATCAGTCATAAAGTAAGTTATGGATGGTATTTCAGTAAGTTTTTGTAATATCTTGCTTGCTTAGTGGTGGAGATATATGTAATGGTGGATCTGAAGTATTTTTTTGTTTATGCTTTAGAAAACAAGCAAAATCATGCTTTACTGTCTTTGCTTTTAGGGTTTTAGTGCCTGAGCAGTCTTTGATATATCCCTCTGAGTGTTAATGCATGCAGCTAAAATGCCTACCCCAGTGAAGTCTTGTATTCTCAGCTAAAAGGAAACTGGTTTTGGTGAAATACCGAAACTACTGAAATGTGAAAGGACTCTTTAGTATGAGGAAAGATAACTTATCTGCTGTAATGTACTGCCAGAAGTTTTAATGTATATCATAGTAATATTAGTATTTTAAAATGTTTCGTGTTCTACTTTCTATCGAATCTGTTGATGAGCTGTGTGCCTTAAATGCTTTTGTCACTGAGCGTCGTGGATGTATGCTCACTGGATGAGTCACCTGATAAGGCCTGTAGTCTGGAGAATAAACATTAAGTAATTATTTTTACGGTTGTCACTGCAGGGAAAACAGACCTCAGGAAGGAGGCATCTGTGTAGCCAACCACACGTCTCCACTGGATGTTCTAATCCTGGCTTGTGATAGATGCTATTCCTTGGTATGAAAAAGACAATTGATAAATATTGGTAATGTTGAAATGCCCATAGATGTAGTGTTGGGTAAGACGATAAACTTACTGGTAGAAAGAGTGGGATTTGACAGCATGCAAACTCACATTCAGGACTGCAAAATAATAGACGCAAGCAGGTGTATGCACACTTTTGACCAAGAGGATTGGTTATAATTGGTGGACAAGCTTTTAGAAACTGATGCATCTGTGTTCAGAATTTTATCATTTTAGTGTGTGTGCGTTTGCATAATAACCAGTGTCTTTGGGCTTGCAGGTCGGCCAGGCACACGGAGGGCTTCTGGGGCTTATTCAAAAATCTTGCATGCAAACCTCTCAGCATGTTTTGTTTGAACGCTCAGAAATGAAAGACCGTCATCTGGTGAGGAAAAAGTAAGGTAGTGAGGTGCTTGCTTAATTGTCCCATCAGGTCTAGTAATTGTGAGGTGCAAGTGTGAGTTGAGACTGTTCTTAACCTGCATCTTTCTTTGGTGGGCAGCTGTAGGTTGTCATCAGTGTAAGGTTTGGAACTGCTCCATCAGTGAAGGTGCAGGGTGTAGCAATCGTCTACTGAGCCTTTGATCATTTGCCCTGGAACCCCTGGGAATTTCCATTGCCACGATTACCCTGCCTGCCACAGGCAGGAGCCTGTTCATTCAGTTTCGAGGCTGATGATTCGGGATATCAGGACAGAAATCAGAGTTCTGTCAGCACGTGTACTTCCCAGATCATGCCTTGCCCTGGTACATTTTTCATCAGCTCTGAGCATCAAAACTGCTTATAGCTGCTGTGAAGACAGGATAAAGGGAAGCTGACTGTGGCAAGTATGAATAAAAAAAAAAAAAAAAAAGGTAAAAAAAAAAAAATTACCAAGGTACCACCTAGCTGCTAGAAGCTGGAAGAGCATCTTGGAGAAGTGTCATAATATGTCTGCTCAATGCCTATTGCTCTCCAGGCCTTCAGTATTGATTCCTGGCAGAGACAGCATGTTGGACTTTAAGGACATGAACAGGATTGACTCTGTATGGCAGTTCTTTTATTCTCAGGTGTTTACAGAGACTGTTCTTAGTCCTAAATCTTCATGAAATAGGGTGCAACACAGCTAACATTAAGTGTCTGTGATAGTTTGTCATTAGAAAAATGGAGGAGGTCCCCCCATGATGGATCGTTATCTCATTTTTTTAATATCTCATGTTTTGGTTTTGTTCTGTAATACAGAGTGGAGAGGAAGTGCATGCTTTTGAGTCATAGGCAAGACAGATGTATCGGAAACCAGATTTTTGTGTCAGTAATCTGCTTGGTGGTAAATAAATTTGTTTTACTACTTTTGCTGCGTCACTTGAAAATAGTGACCTTTCTCTTAAGATACTGAGAATCATTAGATACATACAAAACGGACGTTATGAACCTAGAAGGAATGAAAACTTGAACTATAGAATATACTCCAGTCAAAAAAGTTTGACTGTGTTCACAGCTGGAACCTGTCAAAGATAAATGGAGGTGATTTTTACATGCTTCAAGTACCACCAGTCTCTGGGTTCGTGTTAATTGGATTAAAATGGTGAAATAAAACTGCATACAGTTTTGCAGAAAACCTACTTTTGCAATTAGCAAGAGATAACCTCCAAGGTAAAGGCCTGAAACTAGCACACATCCCAGCTGAGGCCACTGACTGGCAAAGGGCTTTTCTTGTCCCATGTAAGAGGTAATGGATTTTTAGATTCCTGGCCAAATACAAATATGACTCTTCTATGAAAATGAACTATACCCTGAAATTTTATTTTCTCTCCACAGAATTAGAGAACACATTGCAGATAAAGCCAAATTACCCATTTTAATTTTCCCAGAAGGTAGGAAACAACTGTATTGATTTTATTGCTCTTCTCACTTCTTGGCACTGAGTGCAGTTTATTATACCCAGTCTTTACAAGTGTGGTGTTTGTTTTTAGTCTGTAGAATTAATTAGCTCTTGTGATATATTAGAAGTCAGATTCTGATACTTTATAACAGTTTTATGATAGTCTGTCTGCTTTGGTGTATAGCATAATGGAAGAGAGAACAAACTCTGGGATTATGTTTCAGAACTAAAGCTTACTTTCTTTAGCAATTTAAGTCTCCTTAAAACAGTTTAGCATTCATTTGCTGATACTTTAATCCACTTAAGAGTGGATTAAACTCTTCATCTCTTTTAATTCTGGCCAGGTACCTGCATAAACAACACATCAGTAATGATGTTTAAGAAGGGAAGCTTTGAGGTAGGAGGGACCATCCATCCAGTAGCAATCAAGGTAACGTATCTGCAGTTGTTCAAACACGGAAGGATTATTTGCAGAAGCTTCTCATGCCACAGAAGCTGTTCATGTGTAAACTTTAAAAAGTTGTTTGTTTGTTTTTTTTTTTTTTTTTTTTCCTGTGTGAATGAGGTACTGAATAAGCCCTGAGAAAACAAAATCTTTTCACGCTGCCCAATGTCTTGCAGTTCAGTGCCGTATGGGAAATTTTTCACTGGTTGTCTTTACTGCTGGTTAGGAGCAACCTGAAAAGCACAGTTGGCAGTTGCTGTGCTGCATGTTCAGTTCTGCCTGCTCTTTCTGTCCCAGGGCTCCTGGCTCTTGTGTGTTCTGGGGATAAAGGCACTTTTCCGGGCATTTCCAAGGCTTTTGGAGTAGCTTTAGCCAAGTCACCCTAGCTCTAGATATGTTGGTTACTTTTTCTGGAACTGTAATGTTGCCTAATCTTATGGAAACTGTTAAAACTGGTGTGAGCATTCTCAAGGAAACCTTTGAAGTCAGCATATCTGTAGATGACAAGTCTTTACATTTTGAGCAGATCTGTCTGGTTATAATTGAGATATGTTTCGATGGGTCTGTCACAGTTTGGGATCCTGAATTGTTTGTAAAGGTTAACTGTTATAAACTTGTAATAAATGTTGAAATGTGGAGCTTTACTCTGAATTTTCTGCTGCTTTTAGGAGGCATGATTAGATTTGCCCCCGATTTAACAAGTTGAACTGTGACTTCGTGGATGAAAAAGAGCAGCTAATGTGATTTAAACTAAGGTGGCAGGTCATGCCCTTTTGCTTATTCTTCTTGTCTTCCAGTATGACCCCCGCTTTGGAGATGCGTTCTGGAACAGCACAAAGCATTCCATAATGACCTATATTTTTAATTTGATGACCAGCTGGGCTATTGTCTGTAACGTGTGGTACTTGCCACCAATGGTCAAAGAGGTACTTATGCTTTTGTATGTTTTGAAAATGCTCATAAAACGTTGTCTGGGAGGACGTCTGCATTACTATGCACGGTGTGTTAGCATTATGTTTGTGGATCTTTATTGACAACTTAATGGACAAAGGCCAGGAAGCAACACTGTAGTCTTAAGATTGAGTGAGCACTGATTTATGTGCGTTAGTTATCTTCAAGTAAAAACTATTCTTGCAGAGATTCAGACACTTCTGCACCATGTTCCCTGTTGCTGCCAAACAGCTTCTTTACTTGGGTGCAGCTGCTTTGATTTCCTCTGCTCCCAGCAACTAGAAGAGAGGTTAAAATGTGCTTTTGTGTTGCAGGAGTCCTGCCCATCAGCCTGGCACAGACCTCCCTTTTTTGTACTCCAGGAGTGATGTATAGATTCAGGCCTTCTCTTCATGCCATGCTGGGGTGCTTCTGCCTCCTATGTCCTCACTCTACCTGCATCTGCACAGCTTCCTCCTACCTCCTTGATGCTTTGCAGGGTTGAGAAACCCACTAATCCTCTGCCCAGCAGCTTTACCCCACAACTTGGCACAGCCGCCCAGCCTACTGCCCCTGGATACTGACCTGACATTGACAAAGTGGTCAAGGCCTTTATTCCAGCAATGCCCCAGTTTGGTACTGCCTACCCTGGTCTTTGCTCAGCCTTAGTCTTGGCAGGGAAGCTTCTGTAATTGCATGTGGCTTCAGTCCCCTGCAATTCATGCAGACAGATTCCTGTGAACTCAGAGTAATTTGCTGATGCTGGATGCACCAGGTCCCAACCCTGTTCAAGGCACCCCATCTCCTCCACGGTGAGCGTGTTGCTGTGTTTGTTCCCAGCCTCAGACTCATAACTGAAGTACTGGGCAGAGCAGAAGAATCCCCTGCTCTGGCCAGACCTGTGAAGTCAGGCTGTGTGTTGTTTGAGGTTTGTCCCAGAAACCACAGAGCCTCCCACTTGGTTGTTTTTGGCAGCAAATGGTGCCAAACCAGGCAGCGTTCTCTAGGACCAGCTGGACCTGCCCTGCAGGTCACATTTGGGTTGTGGGCCTGCCATAAACCCAAGTGCCTGCTGTCTGACAAAAAGTATCTCTTTAAGTGAGACATGGGGAAGGTGTTGAAATTGCAAAGAAAATAATTATTTGTTGTGTTTTGTTTTGGTTTTGTGTTTTTTTTTTTTTTTGTTTTGTTTTTTTTGTTTGTTTTTCAGGAAGAAGAAGATGCTGTTCACTTTGCCAACAGAGTCAAGGCTGTCATTGCTGCTCGGGGAGGAATGTCAGTGCTTCCGTGGTAAGAAGCAACACCTTTGGGGTTGGGTTTAAAGCATATTTAGGTGTTCTGTCTTCTGAAACATTAGCCTGAAATCTTCTAAAACTTTTTCCAGATTTGCTTTGCTTGGGCTGTAGTCCATCACCGAGTCAGAAAATATTACTCTATCCCTTGAACAGTTCCACTAGAATAAATAGACTAGTTTAAAAAGAGAAGTGTAGCTGGCAGGTAGATCTAGCCAGCAAATAGCATTTGGTGAAAAGTAATTTATTTGCTTGTTAAATGCTGGATTAAATGAAAGGCATTGTGTTGTGTGGTAGTCTTGGCAGTACAGATAATTTAGCATTCTATTGCAAAAGCCATTTGCATTAGGGTGAAAACTGCTTTGACTACATAGTCTAAATATTGTAACGTTTTTGTGCTTTGACCATGAAGTGAGCTCAAGGCTGTTTCTTTTCTGTATCTTTCAGGGACGGGGGACTGAAAAGGAAAAAGGTCAATGAGTCTTTCAAGGAAGAGCAACAGAAAAAATATTGCCAGATAGTAATAGAAAATGGATCTGTGGGAAATGGAAATGTTTGTTGAATGGTATTTATTTTATCTAATTTTTCTATGACTTATCTCCACCAAAAAAGGGCTATTTTTTTTATACTAAACCCGACATATTTTCCTTATATCCCTGTAAGATATTTTGCTTATGACACAGCAGGGAGACCATCAAGAGATAGTATTTTGTATTAAATAAGGGTATGATTTTATACAAAGGAAGATTTACAATATACTGGTAAAATACTTTCTGACATTGAGTGCGAAGAATCTGCAATAAAATTACTTAAGTTCATTGAAACACTAGCTCGTTTTGTTCTTTTTTAAATCTTTGAGTTACCTTGAAGACTTAAATATGGTAACTTCTTGTGATAAAACACCTCTGTACTCCTCACCTCTTATCAATGAGTTGGGCTAGCAGTTTTCCTGTGAGCCACAGTCACTGTGTTGCTGCAGAGATAGATCTCCTGATGTCAGAAGACATTAAGCAGTTCACCAAAACACATTTTCCGAATTGCAAGTTGAAGTGCTGGATGCCAGAGGGAGGCAGGCAGTCACTGACTTTCCCCTCCATGTCACAAGACCAGGGATGGCAACATGGGAAGTTTTCCAGGGTCCTACTGACAAGAGCAGAACAGTGTCCAAGGCAGCACATCCCTGATGCCTGGGTGTGTGATGTGTGATGCTGGGATAAATCAGTCACAGTCGAGGACAATGTTTTAGAAAAATGTATCGTATTTTTAAATTATATTGTCTATTCTGATTTTACTATATCCCTTTCAGTCTGTTTGTATGCATTACACACAGGAAACCTATGATGTGGTAATTTCTGGATAGCCATCTGCTTGTGTTGCCACTTGATGTGAAGACTACTAATTTTCTCTGACAAGTCTATCCTTCAGAAATAAATAGAGCAAGGGCACTTAAGAAATCTGAGATGGAAATATTTTTGTCACCTGCACTATTTCTTTGTATTTGCTCTCTTGCTAAGTCGCTCCCGTGTGGAAGAATCTGGCTTCTTTAACGATCTGAGTGGCACTAATGAGCACACATGAGTAGGTGTTACTTTGCCCAAGTTGCTTTAAGACAGATGAGTGATAAGGACAATTAATAAGGTTTATGTGACAGCAGCCTGTTAATAGAGGTCTCAGCAGAGCTGGAGGGCCTGCTGTGGTGAGCAGAAATACACCCTGCAGAAGGACACATGCACAGATAGAACACTGCCCAGCCCTGGAGAGCCTAGAAAATTGTTATTCAGGGGGAGCAGATAACAGAGGTGAGGAGTGACCTGAAGCTCCCTGGCACAGAACTGAGCTTTCTTCTCCTGTGGTCTGGCGTATCATCCCTGGGCTTGGGTGCTACAGGTATGTGAATTCTCTTGGTGGATCAGTCAGTCCAAATTTTGGTGTTGTAGGTAAGCAGCTTTTTAAAAGGGCAGTTTCCCCTACTGTTAGCCACCCAGGCAGGGAGGGTGCTGGCAGTATGTCTACAGAGGAAAATGTCTTCAGGCTGACCTCTTGTGAAGGAGGTCTGCTTGCCCCCCACTGGAGTAAGCTGTGCTTATGTCTGTTGAAGCTGTTGATCTAATTTCTCAGTATATAAAACCTGAAGAAATGTGACAGACTAATCTGCTAGCTGTTAAATCTCTTCAGTATGCCAGAGTTTTAAACTGGGAGTTTTTCCTTCTGCGTGACTGATGTCTGAGAGTCACTAACAGAGACTGCAGTTGTATGCAAGGGGTTAAGACAAATGTTGGGAGCATCCTTTCCACACTGCTGTGTGCCTTCTTCCTCCTCGGGGGTAAAAGGGGAGACAGAACAGGTACAAAGAGGGGCCAGAGACAGGAAAAGGTGGGGAGATAAAGAACTGCTGGAACCGAAATTTTCTCACTTGGGCTCTGCTTCTGTAAGACATTAGGAGATGATGTGGCTTTCTTCTGATCCTGCAACACTTCCCCAGCTCACCAAGAGAAGAGCCCTTGGATGTGTGATCCTCATTATGGTTATGATGCCAAGGCTTGTGGAAGTATAGCTAACACCTCTGAATGTACGAGTATTGCACGTTACCTTCTGAGCTGTGGGAGGAGTGGTGGGGTTGTCTGTATTTTTTCTGTCATTTTTTGTCTGTCTTGTCAAAAGAAGTCAAAAATTCTGTGAAGCAGGTACTTACATACAGAATAGAGAAAGATAAAGCAGTGAACCCAAGAACCTGTCGATGACAGGAGTGAGGTGTGCTTTGTTAGCTGCAGGTAGAAATGCTCAACCTGACTTGAAATAGAGGCTACTGTTACCTTGCCCTGCTTTGAAGAAACATTTCTGTTTTTTCGTGGTGCTTTTTTACCTAGCTTCCATCTCCTCCTTTCCTTTCTCTTGAACTTCTGTATTTCATTTGCATTTATCAGCAGTGGCCTTGGCAATTACTTTTAACTGAAATTGTATACTGCCCTTAGAGGGCTGAGGTTGTGCAGGAATTGATTTGTTTTCCAAAAGGACACCACAGATTAGTGTGTCTTCCTCCTCCAGCAGAAGGGCACAGTAACAGTAAAAAGAACACCTTATGATAATGTGACTGGGAAGCTGGTAAACTGCATCTTAATTTTCACAGTCAAAGAACTCACACTTGTGTTACTTTTCCTCTTTGCTTGTCTTCCACTGGTCTTGCAGGAATGAGGCTTCTAAACTGTTTGAGCTCCTTTTTTTACTCTGTACCTTTGCAGGATCAAATGTAGCATGGTCTTGGGCTAATTTGTGCCAACTGGTAGGCTTAGATGGAAGAGAAGGAATATTTCAGTGGATCAGGCACTCACACACCCGCTTCCATCCCCAGCAAAAAAATAATCCTTAAAAAAAAAATAAATCTATCAATGTAAGTGATGTTTTGTTTTGTTTGTTTTTTTTTTTTTTTTTAATTTCCTAGCTGTGCAAGCTACATAGACAAGATGTATCACAACCTTGGAGAAGCCTGTGGCTCTGCCTTCCTCAAGAGCACAAAAGTCCTCTGTTGTTTACCATTTAATGTACTTGCCCTCAGCTCCTTGCACTTTCAGTTAACTGGGTGGCCTCTTCCCCAAATAAAATATGGGGGCTTTCTGATACAGCTAGTCAGTGTAGGGAAGACCTACATTGTAAAACATAGCCTTGCTTTGTAATTTGGTGCTGCTGGCTAATACCTACTTACGATGCATCTAAGTGATACTGTTGCTGTGGCACTAATGCATTGTGTTGATGAAACTGGAACAAACCAAAGCAGTCCTAAGTGCGTTCATCCTGAACTTCTGAGATGCCCAAGACAGTGCTCCATGACTGGAAACTAAGCCTATGTGGAATGAGTGAATAAAATCAGGCCCTTTGCCTGTGTGGGTGAGTCAGAGTCAAAATAGCTGCTATGCTAACTTTAGAAGGCATCCCTGATCAGCTGTGTGGATGGATAAACCAGATAAATTTAATAGATTCCACCTTTAGAGCCTTAATAAAACTCAGGCAGCATGCTCAAGCTGCAGTGCAGAATCTTTGTGTGCAGCATGGGTCCTGGGGAGGTCCGGGACCTTAACCCACACGGGTGCTATCCTGCTTCTGCACTGGGCTGAAGCCTGGAGCTGTGTCCCCTGTGTTGAGAGTCCTGAAGCCTTGAATAAGCAAGGGCAACTCTCGCACTCCCATAAAGGCTGGGTCACCATGTCTAATGTGCCTCTCCTTCCTCAGGCAGGCTTCCAAACCCAGAGCGTGAGAACGAGTCCTCTGAAAGCATCTTTTTGGATGTTTGCATTACTATTATCTAAGTTTTCCGTGGTTGGGGGTAGAACTTGTAAAGATGATTTATGCTTTGTCTCCTCTAGACTAAATGTGCAGACTGAAATAGCTTCAATACCTGGCTCTCATTTCGGGGCTTTCACCTCTGGATTAAGAAGAGGTTATTTGGACATTATCACTTTCCATGTTTAAAGTACATTGTGCTGCTCTGCTACAAGGGTAAAGTAACCTGAAACAAGTTGTACCTATGCAGCATTAAAGCAGAGTAAGGTGAGTTTCTGTGTAAATGACTGTCATTGCCTTACTACATTTGAGCCAGTCTTTTAGATAGGTTCTCTAAATTTCCTGGGCTTCCAAGAACTTCTGTGACTCAAATACAAGATGGGACCAAAAATGTTGAGGTCTCTTTTTATATATATAAATGTACGTATCTTTTTCTGTGTGTGTAGGGGAATATATATATACACACACACAGACTTTGTATGTATATAAAGAGATGCCTGAGTGCCTACTATCTAGGAGCATAGCATGGACATGAGCAATGTGAGTTAATTATAACAATGGAAACGTTACAGATTGTTAGAAGACATAGTGATAATCAACTTAGTGATCTCTTGTACTCTGTGAGAACTGAATCAGTTTGCTAAAACATTCAATAATCTTTCACTGTAATGCACCTGCATGTTAAGACTGACTGATATAGCTAGAGTCCTTTATTCTCTTGAAGCTGTGTCTTATCTTTGGGAACGTCTGAAATGCTCTTGTCTCTCTGACTTCTGCTGACCCACTCTCTGTTATCTGCTGACCTTACCTGCGTACCTTTTTCTTGACTCGCTGTTGTTCCAAGAGGTGTTTCAGGAATTGTACATCCATGTGTCGTAAGGAATGTGCAAAGGATGCCATCTAGTGACAGCTCATCAGTGGTAGCAAAGTCTCCCTTTCACAGACTTCTCAATGTTTTATTTAATGCAGTTACCTTAAATTCCGATGAACAAGCCTGTTACTGCTCCTCCATTTCCAGGAAACCATGAAAACATAGAAATAACTTTGCATACCCCAAACATCGGATCTTTGATTATCAGTCGTGTTGTACTTACCAGCAAAGCTTATGGTTCTAAGTTTCAGCAGCCTGTGTTGTGTGGGGCTTCCCCAGGCTGTCTCTTCTCTGGGACACGAAAATCAGAAATGCTTCTGTCCTTTAATTGCTTCAAGATCAAGTATGGGTCTAATCCCTGAGCTTCTATCTGTATTTTAAAATTCAGTAGAGGTGGCAAGCCTGAGATGTTCCTGAAGGCAGTGTGACGGTTGGTTTTGCTGTGATGAGTTTCTTTAGTACCTTGATGCCCTTTGCTCCTGATCTGGGACTGGGGACACTTTCAGAATAAAACATGTTTTCAGAATAATAGGGGAGATGTTCTGAACTTGTTTTCTGCCAGGACGTGTTTCCTTGAGCTGTAGTGAGAACAGCGAGCTGTTAGTGCTGAATTCGATCACCTGGTGTTTTCTCAAACTCTTCCTTGTGCAGCCTGTCCTGAATGAAAGTGAAGAAAGC